GGGGAAAAATAAGAACCAAGATACATCATGTAAAGGTAGAAGATCCCAGTGATGAATGTAACTGTACTGTATACCTAAAATGTACCAATAAACTTAATGAAAAAAATAAATAAAAATTCTGAATGCTACGTCACTTCTTATCACTCCAAAATAAACTAGCCTGGGAACTAAGATAAGAAGTTGTATGAAATTGCCCAACTCTTTATAAAATTGTGCTGCTAGCAGGTACTAGCATCTCTCAGTAGCATATCATGTGGCCACCTCACTAGTGAGAGAGTACCATGGTGAGGGATACTCACTGACTAGGCAGATAAAAGAAAGTATTACCTTTCCATACATGGTGCTAGAGTAACTGGATATCCACATGAAGCATGAAGCTACACCCAATCTTCATGGACTTGGAGTACAAAATGACTTCTTAGATATGATACCGAAAATATAAGTGACACAAGAAAAACTAGATAAACTGGACACATCACAATTCAAATATTTTGTGCTACAAATGATCCCATCAGAAAAGTAAAAAAGACAACTCATAGAATATGAGAATATTTCTGACAAAGGAGTTGTATCCAGAATACAGAATACATTTATAAGTCAAAAATAAAAAGGTAAATAACTGAATTGAATGTGGGAAAAAAATGGAAATGAACATCTGTCAAAGAATATATGCAAATGGTCAATAAGCACAGGAAAGATCCTCAACAATTACTTATTAAGGAAATGCAAATCAAAACTACACTCCCTAGGATGGCAATAATAATATCGAACCAGCTCCTCAAAGTGTTACACATACACTTTCCACATAACTCAGCAATTCCCTCCTAGGTACACTATGTAGCCAAGAGAAATAAAAACACAGCTCTACACAAAAACTTGCACGCAAACAGTGTAGCAACATTAATAACTGGAAAGCGAAAAAACTTAAAAGTCCATCAGTTGATGAACAGCTGAAGAAAATGTGATATATCCATAAAGTAGGATACTATCCAGCAATAAAAAAATTAAAGTCCAATATATATTACAACTTGGATGAATCCTGAAAGCATTAGAATAAGTGAAAGAAGTCAGACACAAAGGACCACGTGTTCATGCTTCCATTTACATGAAATCGACAAATAGACAAAATAGAGACAGAAAGTAGATCAGCAGTTGCCAATAACCAGGTGCAGAGGTGAATGTGAAGCACAACTCTAGTGAGCATAGGGATTCTTCTGGGGATGACCAACATGTCCTAAAAGTATATGGCTGCAATGGTTGTATGACTTTGTGAATATACTACCACTGAATTGTACATTTAAAAAGATGAACTAGATGCTGTGTGAATATTTCAATAAATCTGAAATATTTAAAAACAGAAAAAAGATCTCTGTGTGAAACCCACTAGACATCCTGCTACCCACCTTGGGGGACACTGTAGCCAATGCTGACTGACTAGAATTGACATGAAGTTGAGCTAAAAGTAAAATGCTAGGGTTAACCATGGGAGAAAATTTAACCTTTTTGTCCCTATAAAAGAACTATCCCCTAGGCTTGAAAGATGGTCAAAGGCCTCAGTAAACATGACAGAAACAATGTACTTCTTGTGTGGACTGATACCACCAGAGAATTGTCCATTTGTGGAAAATCATCTGAAGAAGGATACATAGGATGCAAAGATTCAGAATAGGACTTTGACTTCAAAGGCAAGTTGCTGACAGAATCTGTTGCTTTTCCATCAGCAACAGTGTAAGCAGAAGAAAATCCACAGCAGCCCCTCAAACCTGCAAGGCTCTACAGAGGTGACATGAGAAATCTTCACCATTCACCTTAGTGACCAGTTGGGCTCAATGAAAGTAAAGTGACAGTGGCAGATTTCTGCCCTCAACAACTCAATAGGAAAATTGAGGCAAGTGACAAAGCCTTCTAGGGAAGGATGGTTTGTTCGCAGCACAGGTGTCTCAGTCTCTGGCCATGCCCACAAGCGTCCAGTATGTTCCAGCTAGTGAGACAGATATTACGGAGGTCCTGCCTGTGCTCATTCAGGGCTGACATGTTCAACAACAGGAACTCTTCTAGAGTTGGGTCTTCGTTCATGGACCTAGCCATTTGCCATAAAGAACATGAGATAAAAGAGGAAAAGCTGCCATTTATAGTACTTCTTCCTGGAAAAATCTGGACCAGCACAAAAAAGAAGTTAGGAAGAAAAGGTAGGAGAGAGGAAGGGTAGCAATTAAATCAAATCAAAACACCATAGATGAGGAGTCACCTGCTCCTTTGGGGCACGTCAAGCCCTACAGCATCAGGCTTTTTACATGATTGGGAGTCTTTAATCCTATCACAGAGAAGACAACCACAGACCCTTCCATAGGTGTGAGTGTAAATGTAAACACACACACACACACACATGCATGCACGCACGCACGCACACATACACAGAGTTTTTCGCCTCATTCTCATTCATCTGTCTTACTTCTGAACTGTTGGATGGGGTTTCACAGTGGCTCCAGAAGCGGGCCCACCAACAGCAGTAGAAGGCTCTTGGCTTTCTGTAGATTGATTTTCAGGTCTCAATTTTCTACGAATGGGCTTTGATGGGGGCTGGGAATATGATACATCCTGTGAATTAAAAAGAAAAGAAAAGAAAAAAACCAAAAAGTCAAAAATTAAATGCTCTTCCCATACCTCATGCCAGTGTCCTATGAACCTGTAGTTCTAAACTCAAGGTCAGAAGACTGCTCTGTTCAAACTACACCCAAGGATGTATGGCTGATTTCTGGCTTGGCAAGAACTGGAGGGAGGCAGGCATCAGATTTCAGTTTTCCTGTCTTCCTTCCTTTTTCTCTTTCTTCTTCCATCAGATTTCAATCTTCCTTTTCTTGGCAATAGCGCAGAATGCACTAGGGATGTAGCTCAGTGGTTCCACTGCCTGCCTCGCAAGCACAAGGACCTGAGTTCAATCTCCGGTACCAAAAAAAAAATAGTGTGGACTGAACCTAAGGCCTTCACATTTAGCTACATCCCCAGCCCCTGTTTTACTGTATTGTTTGAGACAGAGTCTCACTATGTCATTAAGTTACGCAGGCTGAGCTCAAAGAACTTTCAACCTTGCCTCAGCCTCCAGAGTGCTGGGATTCCAGGTAGGTGATACTATACCTGACTTCCTTTCTTCCCCTACCCTCCTCCCCCTTAAAGTAAGCTATTATTTCTTGTCATTTAAACTCACATTGACCCTGGGCATCTAACATCATGGGGTCTTTCCTAACTGAACACAAAACTGACTTCTGTTTTGGGGATTTTGGACTGTGCTTGAGGTTTTCAAGTTTGTGAGTCTTAGTCATATGCGCAACATTACCCCATTCCTGGTTCCCACATGAAGACAAGGAAAAGAGCCACAGTGTGTTCAGGAAGGAGACAAAGGTCTTCTTCCTCAGAGGACCTTGACCCAAATGTGCTCCTGAGCCACGGCTTCCTGTCTTGTGGGGAAGGGGGTCTGGGAGAGAACAGGGAAGGACAAGAGGAGGGTGAGAAGATAAATGGGGTGCCTGAGGGATGAGTGGCGCTAGCTAAGCAAATGCCAGGGGAGTGAACGGCAGGGCTGGGCAGAAGTAAGGACACAAGAGGAAATCATAGTACAAAGACAAACAAGAGGCTGCCCCACTTCCAACAGGTGCTCTTAAAGGCTTAGCAGGTACATGGAGTTTCACTAATGGCATCGTCCCTCCCTGTGGCATTTTTGATCTCACCAAAAGCAAGGCCACCATGTTTAGCTGGGGGTTGAAGAGAGGCTCATGAACTGTCTGTGGCATCAAAGGTCAGGCCCAGGAACCTCAGGATCCTGATCTTCACAGAGAACACACTTGTAGGAGATGGAGATCATTCACATTCATTTTAGATTATGGAGGCTTAAAATGACAGGTCTGCTAACAGACAAGAAGCCTGGGGGATGGGCTCAGAACAACATACTCACGCTGGCCTTACCTTCTTGGGTGGACTACTTTCTGCAGCCTGGGAAGGGGCCCTGTTCAGCTGTGGGGGCAATTCAGCCTCTGACACTTGTTCAGACTGTCACAAGAGATCAGAGAGATGATATTAACACAAAAATACAACCACCTAAATACATAACAAAGAGCACTCAGGAAAACGGTCACTCAGGGAAAACTGATTTAGACAAGTTGTAACCAAGCATGGTTAAATCCGCTGATCCTTAGGGAAAACCTTCCCTAGACCCTGCTAATCCCTGCTACCTCTCTTTCCACTGTTGCACAAACTTGGGAAAAGGAATCATAGGAATTTATTCTATAATTACACATTTTGCTAGAAAAACTAACACTTTACAAAATCAAACTCTAAAACTACCAGGGCTTATTGGAAAAAACATGGTTGGGAAATAATTTATGATTTTAATTGTAGCACTAAGAAAATGATCGTCATAAAATGTAATTTTTACATTTATTTTTATTACTACATGTTTGCAGTACACAGTGTTTACACTCATCATAGGGAGCAGGTACATGTACTTAACATATCTTAATTCTTTTAATTCCCCTTCCCCTCCCTTTCCTTTCTCCTCCCTTTCCCTTCCCCTCTCTCCATCTCTAGATCCCTTTTGCATTTGCAAAAGTTCTATCTCCCCGTTGCTATTTCCTACTGGCCTTTTAAAAAAATTAGTACATGTTTGCAGTACATAATGAATACATTCCTCATGACAAGTCACGTACATAACACATCTTAATTCTTTTTTTCATCTCCTTCCCCTCTGCTCCAGCCCTCCCCCACTTCTCCTTCACAAAAAACAAACAAGCAAAAAACTATTTCTCTGTTCCCTATTATTTATCTTTCCTATTACATATTTTATTTTTTAAATTACTTATACTTTTGGTTTTTCATATAAAGATGTAATATGATATTTAAGCTTATGTGTCTGATTTATTTCACTTAACATTATGGTCTCAAGGTGCATCCATTTTCCTACAGATGACTTAAATTAAACCTTTATGGCAAAGTAGTGCTCTACTATATATAAACGCCACCTGGTTTTACCCATCCATCTGCTGATGCACATATAGGCCCCTTCCAAGATTTAACTATTATGAGTTGTGCCGCTATAAACATGGGTATGCATGTATTACTATGATATGGTGTCCCTAACTCATCGGGGAAGAAAGCTGCATCTCTCGAATGACCAGTGACACTGAACATTTTTTCATATATTTATTTGCTGCTTATTACTTGTTTGAGAATTGTCTGATCTTTCAGATACCCATTGTTTAACTGGGTCTTTATATTTAGGGGGTCTGCTTTTTTTTGAGTGGTTTGTATATTCCAGATAGTAGACCTTTATCAGAGGAACAGCTGGTAAAATTTTTTCCCCACATTGTAGGTTGTCTCTTAGCTCTCTTAGTGGTTTCTCCTGCAGTGCAGAAGCTTTTTAATGAGATGAGATCCCAGTTATTCTTTATGCTAGTTCATAAAGTCTTTTCCTATGCTAATGTTTTCGAGAGTTCTTCCTAACTTATCTTCCAGCAAGTTTAGTGTTTCTGTACTAATATTTAGATCTTGAATCCACTTGGATTTTATTTTAGTGCATGGTGAAAAATAGGGGTCTAGTTTTAATCTTTGGCAGGTTGAAATCCAGTTTTTCCAATACCATTTAGTAAAGAGGCTATCTCTCTACCACTGAGGATGGTTGGCTCCTTTGTCAAAGATGAGGTAACTGAGTACATCCAAAGTTGTTTCTGCATCTTCTCATCTATTCCACTGATCTTTGGGTCTGTTACTTTTCCAGTACCATGCTGTTTTTATCACAGTGGCTTTGTAGTATAGTTTCAAGTCGGGGATTGTGATACCCCCTTCCATGTCTCTGTTGCCTAGAATTGCTTTTGCTATTCTAGGTCCCTTCTGATTCCAAATGAATTTTTGGGTTATTTTCGCTAGTTCTGTGAAATATACTGTTGGGATTTCAATGAGGATTGCACTGAATCTGTATGGCAGTTTTGGAAGTATGGCCATTTTCACTATGATCATTTTTCCTACCCAGGACCAGGGGATATATTTCCATTTTCCTATATCCTCTTCTATCTTTTTTTCATAGGGCTGTAGTTTTCAGTATAGAGGTCTTTTGCTTCCTTTGGTAGATTGATTCCTAGATATTTCATCTTTTTGGATGCTATTATGAAAGGAATTGTTTCCCTAATTTCTCTCTCAGTGAGTCTGTTATTTGTGTACAAGAAGGCTGATTTTGGAGTGTTGACCTTGTATCCAGCTATGCTACTGAATCTGTCAATTAAGTCTAGAAATCTTTTGGCAAAGCTTTTTGGGTCTTCTATGTAGAGTATCATATGGTCAGCAAATAATGACAGTTTAACTTCTTCCTTTCCTATCTTTATTCCTTTATCTCTTTCTTTTGTCTAATTGCTGTGGCAAATGTTTGCAGAACTATATTAAACAGGAGTGGTGATAGTGACTATGCTGGTCTTGTTCCTGATTTTCACATGAAGGTTTTCAATTTCTGACCATTTAGTATGACATTGGCTGTTGGTTTTCATATATAGCCTTTATCAAGTTGAGATAAAGACCATTTATTATCTTCAGAGTTTTTATTATGAATAGGTGTTGAATTTTGTCAAATGCTTTTTCTGCATCTATTGAGATGATCATATGTTTTTGTCCTTGACTCTGTTAATACGGTGCATTACATGTATTGATTTATGTATATTGAACCATCCTTGCATCCCTGGGATAAATCTGAAGCAATTTTTTTATTTTTTATTAGGACTTTTATTTGGGGGTCTTTTTTTTAGTTCTTTGTAAATTCTACATATTAGAACTCTGTCTGAGGAATAGCTAGCAAAATCTTTTTGACATTCTACAAGTTGATTCTTCACTCTATTATTTCCTTTACTTTGCAGAACTTTTTAATTTTATATTTCATTTGTTGATTCTTGATGTTATTTCTTGTGCAAGTGAGGTTCTGTTGAGAAAGTCCTTCCCTGTGCCTATGTCTTAGAGAGAAAACAAGTTGTATTTTTAAATGCTAATTTCCTAATAAAGAAATGTTGTGGTAAATATAGCTTTTTACCTATGAAAAGAAAGGAGGTATATAGTAGAAGAAGTAATCACAGAAGTTGAGGTACTTAATGGTAGGGAATCAATGACTAAATGCACAAAGATTGGCAGGAAATGCACTTCAAGACACAGCAGGCAAATAACCAAGTGGAAGAACACAGGGTGACTGGGCGGCACATGTGGCAATTCCCCTGAGCTGTGTTTGAGTGCTTTGCTTTCAACTGCTATTAGCCAGTGATGCAAAATGTTAGCACAGTGAGAAAAAAAATCCAAAAATGAACCAAGTGACTTCTGCATTTTTTTGACATCAGTTCTCCATTTACCCACACACTAATCCACACCACAGAAACACTGCAGCACAACCAACTGCCTTGCTGTGTCCACTGTGTCCCTCAGCTTTTCTCGTGCCTTTCTTGTACAGTGTGCCTTCTTCCTATGACTCTGCTGAAAGGGCTGCTCCCCAAGACACCAACACTCTCCCATTTAGCAGGTTCCTCTCCTCACTCATCTTCTGTCAGCATGGCACCCTTGATTACTTTACCACACTCCTGTCCCTGGCATCTGAGAAGCTGCAATCGACCAGTTTTAGTCATTCTCTCTTTCTTTTTTGATTCCTCTCATCCCTCAAATGTAGGATTTCTCAAGATTCTGTCTTCAGTGTCCCTGTCCCCTTTACTCTCCCTGCTCATTCTTTGCCAGGGTAATCCTATCTGCTCCTACGTTCTGTTCCAAGCAACTCTCTAACTCTTCTAAATCCACCATGTATGTACTCAACAGGCTTGGTTTCTAGATACAAGTATTTCTTATATCCTTCTCACTTCCCTTAAGGAGAACTGGATTGCAATTGTCACAAATAAAATTATTAGATACAATACATATACATTAAACACTGATTACATGTCATACATTGCTCAAAGTGCTTTGCAAGGGTTACTGAGTTTCACCATCTTAGCCTATAAAGGGAATGATTACCCTCATCTTACTGATAAAGAAATTGAAGACCAAAAATTTAAAGAACTAACTCATGATTACACAAAGAGCAGGTTCTGAACTCAGGCCTTGAGTTCCAAAGCTAAGTTTGTAACCAAGAGGCTCTACAGCCTCAGGTACTTAGGCCTGAGTGCTTCTCACTAGGGGCATATTTATTTTCTGTTATTTTCTTGATTGTTCTTATTGTTAAAACAGTGTGAATATAGTTTCTAGTTTTCCTGTTGCTGTTAGTTTGTTCTGTTCTTGTTTCTGTTCCTTCTATCTCTCTTTTCCTCCTGTCTCTACCAGTTTCCCAAAGTTTGCATGATCCTCCTGTGTCCTCTAGCCCTACATCAACATCTTCATCTATCTTTCCATCCCCTCCCCCCAACTCCTTCTAAGTCTTCTTCCAAGAGGGTAAAGTCACTATATTGAAGAGCTTACTAACATATTTCTAGTTGGACCTTGATTTTGATATATAACCACAAAGCTAGTTTGTGCAGTTAAAGGTGTCAGAATAATAACTACCACAATTTGTCATTTTCTAAGCTGTATTTGATGTTATTATTGTTACTGATTGTAATACTTTGGCCAAGGTGACATGATTGTTCTAGTCAGCTGACTTTAATGGTATACCAAGACTGAGATCACTTAAAGGCCATTAAAGACTTAAAAACCAAAGGCCAACTATCCCAGGAAGAAAATGTAAGAAGTAGCCATTCACTAAGGGCTCTAAACACTAGCAAAAAAATACTTACAATAAGCAATTTACAAGCAGCAAATTAAATAAAAAACTTCAACAATAACAAAAATTAGAAATGAGAAGACATCTAAACAAGATGCAAACCCAGACTTCTGGATCACCAAAGGGAAATCCAGGGGGTGAGATTGAACAACCAAGACTCAACCAACTTGACTCCCTGAACTGGCAATGAGAGAGAATCTGGAAAAAATGAAATCAAGAATAATTTCTCAGATAATATCAGAGATGGTGAACATAGTAAAAGACATGATTAAGAACTCTGGGG